TGGTATACCCTGCAGGAATGAGGGGGATGCCACAGGCTTCAACCATGCCCCCCCTTCCTCCTTCTTCCACCCTATTTCCTTCCCCCTTTCCCTTTCCCCCTCCCACCCAAATGCTCCACAACAACATCTTAGAATGTAAAAACAGGTGGAGCCAGGGACCAACCCCTCCTCCTGCAACCATACACACCACTGCTGCCATGAGGCCCACCCAGGGTCCTGAGGCCTGAATCCAGGGACCAATCCTTCCTCCCGCAACCAGACAAGGAGCACACCAAAAACACTGCTTCCATGTGGGTGGCCCACCACATCCACCACAATAGCCACGGCTGCCACAAAAGCGGTAGATGCTACAATCACCATGCAGATGGCCCACCAGCCCTCAAGTGTATTGACACAAGGACAGTCACCATCAGAGATTAAAGAAAAGAAGAGGATATCTCTCTCCACAAAGCCCATTCCAGAGTGATAGAAGAAGCATCTATGCTATGATAATAGTGGGGGACTTGAACACACTTCTCTCAGCACTGGACATCTAGGCAACAAATCAACAGAGTAACTGTCACTCTTTCAGAGGGAGAGAAGTCTAGGGTTATCAGAGGTGGGAGGAGGGCAGGAGTGAAGAATGCAGAGAGATTCAATAAGGGACATATAGAATAAGTACGATTTGTAATAATGTATATGCTAAAAATATTGATTTGATCAACATACATCAATGTTGAGCCCCCAAAATATGTATGATAAATTATGATTCAATAAAAAATAAAAATTACAGGGCCGAGCCCGTGGCGCACTCGGGAGAGTGCAGCGCTGGGAGCGCAGCGACACTCCTGCCGTGGGTTCGGATCCTATATAGTGTCCCGACCCGCGGGATATTCAACGCAGACCCTGGAGGGGGGAGTGGGAATGGGATGGAAGCAAGAGATGCAAGAGATGGGAGACAAGACAGTATTCTGATCAAGTCTCATTTATTGATTCTTAGGTTACACCTTATATAGGAAAAAGCAGGCATATTGTAAGGAGTTAGGAATGCAGGAATATGATAAGATTTTGAGAAGAAACAAAGTCAGAAAATCTCTGATGCGAAGAAGCCCCCAACCTTTACAAGAAAGCAGAAACTTGGAAGGAGATAAGAGGTCACTCTTGAGTAGACTTGCATAGCCAGGAGCACAGCGTCCCAGGCACAGATTATGAGGCAGATATCCCATAAGCACAGACATCTGACATAAGCAGATTGTCACATAGGCCTGGTCACACAAGAAGGGGTGTGGGGCTACAGGTCCCCAACAATATAGGAATGGCTGGTGCGATCACAGCACTCACTGGCTGAGCGCAGTGCAGCCAGTCTCAAAAAGGACAACAAAAAAAAGAAATTTCCAGGGGCCGGCCCGTGGCTCACTCGGGAGAGTGCGGTGCTGATAACACCAAGGCCCCGGGTTCGGATCCCATATAGGGATGGTCGGTTCGCTCACTGGCTGAGTGTGATGCTGACAACACCAAGTCAAGGGTTAAGATCCCCTTACTGGTCATCTTTAAAATAAATAAATAAATAAAAATTACAAAAATAAAAAGCATAGGGTGCTTATGGGCTATCACAGCACTACGTCAGACCCAACACGTTCAAAACTGAAATAATGATGATTCACCACAATCCGATCCTCCTCCTTATTTTCATGTTATTTCCTATCTGTACATGTATTCAACAAATACTCAACAAATTTAATAAGTGTGTACTAGGTGCCAGACAACTCTCTTCCATCCAGTTGCCCAAGTCTGAAACCTTCCTCATCCCTATATCCAATCAATATTAATTTCACCTCCTTAAGTCATTATTATATCCATCCCATCCCTTCCATATCCATTTTACTGCTTTAGTTCAGGCCATGAGTATTTCTCACCTAGATTCCAGAAACAGTCTCCTAGGATTGCTGCACCTCTGGTTGCTCTCTTCCCTGTTATATGTCCTCCACAGGGCTCCAGAGTTTATTTCTAAATCACAGCTCTGATTATGCTTCTCCCCTACTTAAAAACCTTTCATGGTTCCCCATTGTATTCAGACAAATCCGAATTCCTGTAAAGGAACAAGGCTCGATGTAGTATTCTGATATGAATCTGCCAATCCTTTATTTCAAGCAGTCTGCGAGAAGAAAGCTGGACCCAAAGAGTATGTAGCTTCATGACTAACAAGGGAACCTATACAATAGGTATATTACTAGGTTACTTATCAAAAGTCTGGTAGATTAATTTATAGCTTAGGTTAAAAAAAATTAAATTTCCTATACCAAACCCATCACAGAGATTAAAGAACAACTGCAAAGTTCTATGACACATGCTTTATCAGCTTTATGGTCATCACCTGCTTTGTGGTTAAAGGATATATTCCTGTGAGATTAAACTAAAACTTTGGCATTAAACGAATATGATGGCACTTTCTGCTACTTTTCAGTAGTTTAAAATAAAAAGAGCCAGAACCTATCGTATTTAAATTGAAATATGACCATGGCCCCACCTAGTCTCCCTTTGTTTATTATTGTGTCAACAAAACATATCCTTGTGTCAACAAAACATATTCTCTAATCTTCTCTTCCTTATTTTACTGAAAAGGAAAATACCTAGCATCGAAGTACTGCAACTGCTTTGTTTCAACAAGACTTTTACTCTCAAGGCTTCTCATCTAATATTGATATATGATCAGTATTTCATTTTCATTTTAACCAAAGCTGAATAAAAGTGGAAGATGAATATTTTTACTCCCACACTCCTTGTCTTGGCATGCAATGCTCTGGCCATGGCTTGCCTCTTAGACTTATCTCTCACTATGCCTTGCCTTGAAGTCTCAGCTCTGTCCATATGAAACTATTGGCAGTTTCCTGAAGTGCCACGCCATTTACACTTTCGTGACTGTGTTTTTTGCACCAATTTTATCTAAATCTTAAGGAACATCCTGAAGCCAATAGAGAGCTGGGTTAAAAATGTATCTATAGCCCTTTATTACACTTTTTTGTCTATTGCCCCTACTAGACTATCTCTTTCTCAGAAGTAGATACAGAAAGCACGTCATTAATTTTTTTCTCCCTAGAGCCGACCTATGTGCCCAACACATATGTTCATTAACTATTTGTGGAATAAATGCATGAATTAAAGAATGACTGAATGAACCATACCTTTACAGAATGGATGCAGATATAGACACAGAATAGATCCTTTTAGATTCTAAAAACATCCAGAATAACCATAGGAGTTGAACTAGAAGGGAAGCCCATGAGATAGGTGATAGATCTTGGACGTGACCAGCGCCATTTTTGCACACAATAAGCACAAAATAGTCACCATCTCCTCCCTTTGTAAGAAACTTCATGATTTCTGAGAAACAGAAACTCTTTTTGCTTCCACAAGGGCACAATTCTCCACCCTGGTCACATAGCTTCCACATTAGCATAATGCCCCTGCTTGATTGTATCAGCCAGCCCTTGGCACCCTATATAAGCTCTCCCACCCCCACACCTGATGCTTTCCTCCATTTTTTTTTTTTTTTCTTGTCCTTTTTGAGACCGGCCTCACCGCGCTCAGCCAGTGAGCGCTGTGAGGGCACCGGTCATCCCTATATAGGATCCGAACCCGCGGCAGGAGCGCTGCTGCACTCCCAGCGCCGCACCCTCCCAAGTGTGCCACGGGCTCGGCCCAATGCTTTCCTCCATTTGGGCTGCCCTCCTTTTGAGTGCAGCCCAGCAGATTCTTCTCTAATAAAGCTTGATCAGTACCCGGCATCTCGGCTCACTTTCTTTCAGTAGGTGTCTAAGTCTGCAAAGAACTTGGGGAGAGAGACTTGAGGCTGATAGATACACCGAAAAAGACTAAAGAAGATGGCAGAGCCAGGCAGTATAAGGCCTAAAGGAGAAAAGGGTTTTGCACCTAAGTGGATGAAATTACGAGAGGAAACAAACTGAATGGCAATACTGCCTCCCAGTGGCATCTGGCCTCTATGCCAGAGCATTTTTAAGGAATAACAGCTTTCTCACATTGGGTAGTTCTGAACTATGGACTGTGAATTTCAGACACTCCTTAGTTTATCTCATTTAACCCTCACAGTAACCCCCCTGTAGCATGTACTTTAGGGGTTAAATGCATACACTCTGAAGCCATGCTGTCTGATTCTCCACTTAATGTCTCGCCCACTTACTAGCTGTCTGACCTTCGACTTAAGTTCTCTGCATATTTCCCGACCTGTAAAATAGATATTAGTACCTACCACATAGAGTTCTCACGAAGATTAAATTATTAAATTCTTAAAACAGTACTTGATGTCATGGCAAAAGCTACTTAAATGTTAGCTATTATTATTCCCTTTTTCCTGATAAGAAAATAAGTAAAATGAGCACTGTCTTAGTCCATTCAGGACTGCTATAACAAAATACCATGAACTAGATGGCTTTAAATAACAGAAATTTATTTCTCACAGTTCTGGAGGCTGGGAGTCCAGAATCAAAATGCCAGCAGATTCAGTATCTAGTTAGGGCCTGTTTTCTGGTTCGTAGATGGCACCTTCTAGCTGCCTTCATGTGGTAAAAGGTGAAGGCAGCTCTCTGGGGCCTCTTTTATAAGAGTACTAATCCCACTCATGAGGGCAGAGACCTTCTAATACCATCACATTGGCGATTAGGTTACAACATAGGAATTTTGGAGGATGCAAACATTCAGACCATAGCAAGTATATAATAGGAACTCAATAAATGTAACTTCCTTTGCTTTCTCCCCCTAAGTCTTAGCTCCTTAAAGTGTTGCCCTTCTTAGGGGTTCTGGAACTTAAATAGCGGACTTCTGAAGAATCCAAAGAAGTCAGTTCCTAGGAAGAAAGAAGTTAACAAGCCGCCATTAAAAAGTCCAGGGAAGGACGCGGCTTGCGCAGCCCCGACCAACCCAAAATGCGAACTACAATTCCCGGTGGCCTCGGCAGACGTCGGGCCGCGCCACAACGCGCCTGCGCAGTGGCGGAGGCTCCGGCGGGGCTGTTCCCGCCAATTCTTGCGGTCAGTCATCCTTGGGTCGAGTTCCGCCTCCATGGAGATGTTTGACCCCGCCGAGCTGCCCGAGCTGCTTAAACTTTATTACCGGAGGCTCTTTCCCTACGCCCAGTACTATCGCTGGCTCAACTATGGCGGAGGTGATGGAGGCGGGGAGCGGGGTGGGTAGTGATGCGGCCGTGGTACGGCGCGGAGTGAGAGGTTCCGGGCGGGGTGGCCTTAGAATGACAACATGAAGTGCCTCGTGCGCCAGCCACAGTGCCGGGCGCCTTCACGCACTGTCTAGATCCCGCCCCACCACCTGTGAGGTGTAGATGGGATAAGAGAGGATCCACCAGCCTGCGGCTACACGGTAAAAACAGAGCCGCTACTTTTAACTTCTACGCGTTCGGGCTCACTTCAGGTGTCCCAGTTACCTGCCGCGGTGCCAAGGGGGTTACTAGGTGGTAGCTTGAAGCTGCAGAGGCGTGATCTACATCAGGGACGGAGGATCCTCTCCGAGAAGTGAAGAGATACTTTATTCCTCGCAGCTGAATTTATTAGTGCCCACCGCCACCGAGAGAGATGGCATTACATATTTAAATATTTCTGCGTCTTTTCCCCTCATTTCTACTTTCCCCCAGCGATTGTGGGATGGTAAGCCCCGTCAAATTAGGAAATTAGGGTCTAGTTCCTTTTTTTTTTTTTTAACATCTAGCACGGTGTTGGGCACAAGAGGCTCATTAAAAATATTTTCTCATTGGTTAATGTTATAATGCCCTGAGCTGAATAAAGTGCCGTATTAACTTTTAAATGTACACTTGTTTTGCAGTGATAAAGAATTACTTTCAACACCGCGAGTTTTCATTCACTTTGAAAGATGATATATACGTTCGCTACCAATCCTTCGATAACCAGAGTGATCTAGAAAAGGAGATGCAGAAAATGAATCCATACAAGATTGATATAGGCGCGGTGTATTCCCACAGAGTAAGAAATCTTTTTTTTTAATATATTTTGTTTCGTTTTGTAAACCAAGAATGGATTGATGCACTCAACGTTTTTAGATTAAATTCTTAGAGTTTATTCTAGTTGAAGAGCCACACGTTTTAACTGTTTTTGCAAGTAGATTGTAATTTTTGTTCTTTGACACTCTTTGTTACCAACAAAATCATTTGGAAGTGAGTTGGTTGCATTCTCACTAGGAGAAAAAATTGAGTATCTGTCCAAAAGACTAAATGAGGAAGTTAGCATGGTTTAAGGGAGGGAAATAAAAGAGAATTACATTCTCTCCCAACGTTAGGGTTATTCTTGTTTCCTCTCTTTTTCTCATGCTCCCATACCTGTTCCATTAGAAAATCCCTTTGGCTCTAATATAATATATATCTAAAATCCAACCATTACTATCGGTGCTACCACCATCATCATCTCTCATCTGAATTACTGTGAAAACCTCCCAACAGTTTGTTCCTGTAGACTCTAGACTCCATTCTCAGCACAGCATCCAGTGATCCTTTTAAAACAACTCAAATTCTGTGATTCCTCTACTCAAAACCATTCTCTGGTGACTCCCTATTTCATTCAGACTAAAATCCCTTCTTTTCCCCTCACTCCACTCCTGCCACTCTGGCCCTTGCTCAAGCTGTTTCCACTGCCTAGAACCCATTTCCCCAGATATCTACATGATTCATTCCCTGACCTCCTTCAAGTCTTTACTCAACTAGCACCTTCTCAATGAGGCCTAATACCACCTGCCACTCCTCCCACCCCCTGCCACTGGTAAATCATAAGCGCCTACAATAGCACCTGGCAGAGAGAGTACACCGTAAATACTTGTTGAATGAAAGAACAAACCAAAATTGCTCTTCCCCTCAAAAATACACACAGTGGGGGATTGGGAGAATACACACATGGGATAATAGCTTTTGTATGGAGATTTTCATGTGTTATAAACTTGTTTCTCATGTTAATCATCATTGTTTTTATAAAGGAAAAAACAGGCCCAGAGAACTTAAATAGTTTGCTTAAGATTACACAATTTCTAAATGATAGAACTGGGACTGGAATCCAGATTTTCTGATTCTAAATCCCAGACTTGTCTTCCATCATCAGGGTAAGGGCAGAAGAATAATTAAGAAAAGGTAGGCAAGAAAAATGCTTTGGAGCAATTTACTCCCCTTTAGTGGTTGAGAATAAAACTGAGGATGAAACTCTAAAAAAGGGTCAGGTTGTCACTCTACTTCCTTCACCCTAATAGTAAAGGAAGAAAAAAGTCTTTTAAATTGGGTCAAGTCAGAAGCATCTATAGACGTTTTTTTCTTTTTGTGTTTTGTTTTGTGACTTTTATGAGTTAAATGTACACATAGTTTACAAAATCAAGTACTTCTATTAAGCTTGACTTTCCACTCTGGTAGATGAGGATGTAGCTCTCACCACACATACAACCTTCCCATTCCCACATGCTCCTAATATAATTTTTATTAAAATAAAATTAGTGTTAGATCACTAATTCAACCCCAAACTCTTTGCCACTTGTCTGAGTCTTCCAGCATATTCAGACCCATTAGGAAGTCTGTTGATTTCATCTTGAAGAAATTTCTCTTTTCTCTGATCTTCAGTCTGAACTGATTGCTCGCTAAGCCTGAAGGATAACTAATCACTCTGATTTCCTTTCACCTCTCTGCTAATGCCAGATCCCCTGTTGTCTACATCCCATGTCTTCCTCTTTGTTGGTTTACTCCCTTGTTTTGGTGGAGCACATCCTCCAGAAGCTTCTTGAGAAAAAGTACATGGAAAAACAAAATTGTTGATACCTTATGTTTCTGGAAAATGTCTTTATCTTTATACTTGACCGATGGTTGAGTTGGGAATCATTTTTCCTTAGAATGTTGAAGAGAAGACAGCACTACATTATCTTCTAGTTTCCAGTGTTGCTGTTGAGACTAATGCCATTCTTTTTTTCTTTTCTTTTTTTTTTCTTAAGCTTCAGGGTACAGGGATTCAAACCCTTGACCTTGGTGTTATAACATTGCATTCTAACCAACTGAACTAACTGGCCAGCCACTACTGCCATTCTGATTCTTGTTGCACCTGGAAGCTCTTAGGATTTTCTCTCTATCCCCTCTGTCCCTAAGGTTCTAAAATATCACCATGCTGTGTCTTAGTATGGATCTTTTTTCATCTGTTGAACTAGATACTTGATGGGCCCTTATAATGAGCTCATGCCCTTCAGTTCTGGGAAATTTTCCCTTTTTTTTTTTTTTTTTTTTTTTTTTTTCTTTTTGAGACCAGCCGCACCGCGCTCAGCCAGTGA